TCAGGCCGCGGCTGTGCAGCGAAGGTTGGATACTTATACCCGCTCCCGACGGAAGAAAAATAAGCAGCCTATCCGTGATGTCAGAGACATTTTTGGAGTAGTTGAGTCTGGGGTACGTTTCTTTACATGCTCATTTTGCATCAGCTCTTATGTTCCCAATTTCTAATGTCAACAATTTAAAATTATCCCTCAAAAAAAAAAAAGCCGCATTTTATCCTCTTTTTAAATTTATCAGACTTAACCTCACTTAGATATATTTTAGAGAATGGGTGATTTAAGTGAAATATAGATAAGTTGTTTTCATAAAAACGTGCTAATTTTGAGTGGTCAAAACCATCAAATTGCTTCTTGATTAAATGTGGAGGATATTTTCCTTGTTAGCAATTTCAGTAATTTTCTTAACGTTGTAACCCAGGCAAACAGTCAATTTTTAACTGAGAGAGACCGTGCAAACCTCTTAATACGTGCTCAACGTACGGCCGCAATTGAGCCCAAAAGTTCCATTGCTAAGCAAGACAGTTGTTGAGAGTGTTGTGCTCTATTTTATCACCTTTTGTCATGGTTGCTAAATGAATCATTGCAGTTTTTAAGTGAATCATGTGGTTGTTAAGCAAATCTGGCTTTCCCATTGACTTTGCTTGTCAGAAACTGCCTAAGAAGGTTGCAAATGACAATCCCAGTAAATACATGAGGGATGCCATGCATCCAAGATTTGGTTATGTGACTATGGGGTGCTACAGGGCTCATAAGTATGAAAACTGGTCATAAATGTCTTAACTTTGAACAGTCATTAAACAAATGGTTGTAAATCAAGGACTACCTGTACTGGGTAATTGTTATTGTCTCATCATTAGAAAGCTGGATTTCACCACTAACAGTTAACCTTGCTGTGCACTAAACCAAAACCATGATGGTATCCCAAATCTGTTGCTCTCATTTAAAGAAAATATATATATATTTCTGACTCTTAGAGCCTGCAATATTTGCTTTCTGACCTTTGACCATATTAATCTGACAACAGATGAACTGGGTTTTAGCTGTGAATCTTAGTTTTTGTTTCAGATAAAGCAACTGAGACAATCATTGAAAACCCCCAAATATGTACTGGAATGATTTTTTTAAATAACTGAAGTGAAGGGCATCACTCCATGGTACTTAGATACTGTAAAAAGATAGAATTTTCAAGTGGTTTTTTTTTCCTATCCTGTTCTTTGAAATAATGAAATCATTTTTGAAATCAGCTAAGGTCAGCTATATGCTGCCAGCTGCTGGGCTTCAAAAATCACATCAAATTTTTTTCATAAAATTTCATGAACCTCCTTAGAAATGATTAATTATTGGTTGACAATCAGTTTTGATTTTGAAGGGATATCTACATTGTGTTGCACTGACAAAGTTGCATTTTAATCTCCAATTTGGCTTAATGCAATATGTGAATCAGTCTTTGTAAGCTAGGTGTTTTATACATATTTGACTTTTTAAAAAAAAATACAATTATTGTAAATATTGCATTTTGGAAACATTTTCATTTGTTTTATTTTTACGTTCAGTATTGGGATAGCCTGCAATCAAAACAATACACTTGCTACTTATGTAGATTACACAGAAAAAAGTCCACTGATGTGCTAGAATGCATGCTTAAAACAAGCCATGGTTTAATGTGATACGTGAATTTACTGGCTTTTCTTGTACTCTCCGCCTAGGAGACTGAACCAGTGATGGAGTCTGAAATGGATCGACGTCACCGCAGGTCTGCATCATCTAACAACCTTCAGAAATGTAAGAAAATTATTGCATTGCTATCAATAGAAATTAGGAATATAAAAGTATGCAGCTGTTGCCGACTAAAGTGCCACATCGGGCTTTGAATGACAGTCGAGAATCATGTTCTAGAAGTGGAGAGGATTTGAAAGGAGGATTTGGGAATTTCAGGGATTCTTAAAGAGTTTGCAAGATTTTAGGCATTCATTTTAGCCCCTTAAGCCAATGCTTCCCAAACCTTTTCCTTTGTTACCCAAAACTGCTTATCAGAAAGTCTTAGCAAACTTTGAAGATGGTTGTAAGTCCCTTCCTTCAGTCCACTGTAACTTTAAATGGTCTCTGAACAATTGATCATAATTTGAGGACTACCTATATCAGTGGTTCTCAACCTGTGGGTCGGGACCCCATTTGGGGTCGAATGACTATTTCACGGGGGTCACCAAACCACGCTGTCCGCCATTTTTTTCCCTTTTCCCTAGCTGTCCTACTCCCTCTTATTGGTGGCCACACCCACTTGGGGGTCACCACAACATGGGGAACTGTATTATGGGGTCACGGCATTAGAAAGGTTGAGAACCACTGACCTATATTATAACAACAGTATCATTGATCGATCATGTCATTTCAATAACAAATTACCATTTATAATTGTATTAGTTTTCATCTTAATAGGAATAATTTGGGAGATTTTCAGATATATTTTAGTCCATATGGCAATCTTTAAGTCAATTTAAATGTCCCTGTTGTGAAGAGTAATGGGTTTGTAGAGTGGCTGCCCCAAGAAAAAACACTTTTGTTCAATTTTGGGTAATTTATCCAGGTTTGAGGAACACTTTCTTGGGGAGCCATGTCCAGGGTAAAAATAAAACCCTAAATTCTTCCCTACAAAAGTGGTCTTTGGCAAATTGCCACATGTTCTGTACCTTGCTGTGAAAGCAGAAACTCCCGGTTTTTCCATGTGTTTATACACTGACTATAGTTTTGTAACTCTCCAAATAGTGTGGTATGACATCATGTTTGCAAGAAATTTAAGGTGATTCTTCTGACATAAATTTCTTATAGATTTCTTCCTCTGTTTTAAAGTTCTGTCAGCCCCATTTATTGTAGCATGTACGCAAGCTTTACAGTGTGAGTACCTCCATCCTGGGCCTCTTAGTAACGACCAGGCTGACTAGAAAATTCTGTGATGTAAACTACACGCATTGCATTTAAAGAAAACCTATTTATATTTTGGTGGTGATTACTTTCTTCTATTTCAATATTCTTTTTTTTCTTTTTCATTTTTCTAAGAATTTAAAATTTGCAAAACTCAAGATCTAAAAGCTTCAGTTAAATAATTAAGTCTTCAAGCTGAGCTTGATTTTTGGCAATGTTGTAATCATATTGATGTTTTGATTTTCTTGGCAATAGCACACAAGTCATTTGCCTCTCATCCAAATACTAAAAGAGTCTGAAGTGTAAAAGCTGCTTAGCTTGTTGAGGTCAGCCAGACTGAGCTTTTAAATAAATGCAAGAGTTAGATGCAAGATAAAATAAATTTATTTTTACTCCTGCAAACATATTTATCATATGAGTTAAAATACTGTAGCTTGATTAACAATACTGTATATTAAGTTCAGGTATGCAAAACTTACATCAGTTTTCGAGGAAGGGAAAGCAAGGGAGGAGATTGTAGCACTCAAGGTTTGGGCTTCTAGAATTTTTTGAATTCCAGCCAATACAGTGATCACATCAACATCCCAGTGGAGAAGGCTTAGCCCTCTCCTTCACAATGTATTCTTGTAACTCCCCCACCTCCCCACAAAATAATACTGCTTTTTTAAGTTATAAAAAACGAGGAACTGAAGTAGCTAAAACCAGCTAGGTGGGAACACACAGACCTTAGTTAATTGTTGCATCTTTAGTAAATGGATACATCTGGCTGGAATTCTTAAGAGCAAATTTTATGTGATATATAATGTTGCTATGACAAAAATTATTGGAAATAAAACTATTGAGTGAGCTCAACTGATTGAACAAAATAATTTCATTAAAATACTAATTCACACAAGCGGCATGTACAGTATTGAAATCCTTCACAGATAACTGGATGTTGAAATGAAAAGAGTTTAGTTAAAGTTTTGGAATTGTATGTTAAAATAAAGCTTTTATTTAACCTCTTTATTCTGGAAATAAAACCTAGATTATTTAAATTTGTTTGATTCTTGGTTTTAGGACCCTGGGATCCATTTATTTTAAAAGCCAATCTGTATTTCTGTAGACTGATTTTAGTCAGTAGATAGAAGTGTAATTTTTTTCTTGTTTATTATGTTCTTTTCTTCATTCAAAATCCTTTACTTTTAGATCCAGTGGGAATCCCGGACTTTCAGTCTCCACTGAGAGATTCTGTGAGAGAAGAATTATTCAACACTGAGGTTGCCTATTCAGAGCAGGCTGCGATCCTGCTCAAAGGATCATTCCCAAGGGAATCCAGGAGAATAAAGGAAGATAGTTGTTTACCTGTAAGGCTTCCAATGTTTTCAAACCAGGTTGACCATCCCATGGGCTGAATTATTCCCATTTGTGACCACTCCCACAACTCTGAAATTTGATGGCTGAATGGCAAAATGTCACAAATAGGATTTCAGGACTTCCATTGGGAGACTATTAATGAATGGTAGTAGCTTGCCTTTCTGAGGGTGTCTACCCCCATTCTCATTCAGAAAACATCTTCAGAACATCAACAGAAATATCTGGAAACTATCTGCTCTCCATTTTTTGGGGAAGCAATTTTATTACTTTATTTATCTGTGGAGATTCTCAGTCATCCAGGTCATAGTTATCCCAAAGATGCTTTTTCATGAGGCAAGTGGAGTTTCTTGTTTTCTTTGAAGTTGTTTCGCTTCTCATTAAAGAAGCTTCTTCAGCTCTGACTAGATAACTGTCTGCAAGGACTATAAATCCTTCCATTCCCCCACCATCGAGTCAAAGCTGAAGAAACTTATTGGATCAGAAGCAAAACATCTTCAAAGAAAAAGAAAAACAAGGAAGTTCAGTTGCCTCATGAAAAAGCATCTTTGGGTTTACTGTATTACAAGGTTGCCCCTGCAACCTTCTAGAACAGGCATGTCAAACTCGCGACTCACGTGATACCGCACAACGTATTGCAACTTTTTCCCCATATCCGGCAATAGGTGGGCGCGGTTTCGGCATGACGCATCTGGCCCACGGCCCAGCAGTTTGACATGCCTGTTCTCCAGCATGATAGATGTAGCATCCACCGATTGGGTAATCAAAGCCCTCCTGCTCAGATTTAGACTAAGACCAAACTTTAGCCACGCCTCCCTTGGGCGCTCCTTTCCCAGTTTTGTCTTAGTCTATGCTCAGAGAGGACACAGTTTTGTTAGCTCCTCAGCAATTGTTAGTTTAAATAGTGTAGCATTAGGATTGCTAATATAGCTTCCTGTAATGTACTCTTTACATAATTTTTGTTTTTTTAGTAAAGGATAGTGAATTAGCAACCTTGGAGATTTGCTTTCCAGAGGGCCTAATTGGCCTCGTGGATCGTCGGAGCTTTGCCGCTGAAGCGGCTTTCAGCTCAGAGTATCTGTTCAGCACACCGAGGGAGGCTTCCCTTGTGTTTGATAACAATTTTTATTGCCAGCGTTTCTGGAGAATTCAGCCGATTACCAGAGCTTCTCTCTTGCCTCGTGGCCACGAGGCTCTATCCAGGATCGCACAGAGACTCGCCCAGACTGCAGAATCGCAAGTAGTTTGTGGTGCCTTATAGCTGTAAGGGGGGAAGTGTGTGTAAGGTTCCCTCCGTCTTTTTGCCTGCCTGAACGGGGACTTCAAAGACGAGGCCGGAGAAGCTGTCTTAACAGCTCTGACTAAGAGGAGAGGCCATTTTTAGGCGGAAAGAAGACCTGTGGCCGCCATTTTGAATTTGGTGCTGGGCGTGGTCGCCATTTTAAGGTTGCTGTTTGCCTCCAATTCAGGCCTAGCATTAGTGACTCACTGCGTTGGGTCCTCTTGGGGGTTTAGCTGTTGTTTTTTCGACACATTGCTTCTCAGAGATTTATTACAAAAATAAAATAAAATAAAAATAATAATAACAATAATAACACCTATTATCTTAAATTGTGGGGTTCCTGACCTGTTCTATTTAGCTCCCGGCGCTGTGCCGGCAGGGCCCAGCAGACAGTTTTAGACAGCTGTTCTGTCTGTTTGCCATTGTGGTTGTCTTAGGGCGTGGGAAGCTTCCCTCCTGGACAACTTGATCTGCGTAGTTACCCCCACCCCAGGGCTTCTCCTACCTGGAAAGCCTGGGCAAAATGGCAGATGGTGAGTCTCCTCAGGCTTTGCAGGGTTCTGATATTCCCCCCATTCAAGCAAAACGCAGATCCTCTGATTCAAATACAGGGGGGAAGAAAAAAAGCTAAAACCAAGCATTTATCAACCAAAGAACCCTCCAAGACTGCTGAGCGAGAGGCTTCGAAGAGACACCAGGCACTGGATCAAGAGTTCTCCAAAGCACAAAGGCTCAGGTCCAGAGAAGCTGAATTGGTTCCCCCTGCTTCTCTGGCCAGCTCACCTTATGAGCCCTCACTGGTGCCGTCTTATCAAGCCCCCAGGGCAGGGTCTCCTCAAGGGGGAACTGAACAGGTCAGTCTATCTGCCCCTAGACAACATATCCCTACATCCCCTCTGCCAGGGCCTTCCATTTCTCCTGCTAACATTAGTACGCATACTCCTGAGACCACTGCTGCTGGTGTGCCTTCAGCTGAGCGATCCTTATGGGCTGAACAGTTTCAGAGCTTTATGCACCAGGCCTTCAATCAATTCATGTCTTCTTCCTTAGCAGCTGGTCCCTCACAGGTTTCACCTTCTCCACCCTTGCCCGCAGACCGCACTGGACGTCCCCAGTCAGCGGGTTCAGGTATTTCTGAGACTTCATCTCAGTTTGGGGAGACTGAATCTGTTGACCTGGTGACAACTGAAGGACCTATGTCTGAGGATGAGGAGGTAAATCAGGATCCAACCCCAACATCGGGGCTTTTTGATCCAAACCTATTCAAATCTCTTTTGTTAAAAGCCTGCACAACAGCCAACCTGGTCTCGGAGCAGGAACCCAAGCCATCTACCTCGGCTACACAAGAGTCAAACCCTTTATTTGTTAGAAAGGTGGTAGAGGAAAAACAAGTTCCTTGTCCAGCTGTTTTCCACAAGACGGTGGAAAAAGAGTGGACCTCACTGGCCACCCTACCCTCTCCTAGCAGCACAGAAAAGAGATTGTATAATGTATCTTCTGCATTCTCTTCCCTTTTAGAGGTTCCCACAGTGGATGCTCCATTAACATCTTTGTTCTCCACATCCACTGTTCCTGGAGACATGGCCAAACATCTCAAGGCGGAAGATAAACGTTTTGAGTTTTCTCTCCGCAGGGCTCACCAGGCCTCTGCCTGGGCCATCAGGGCGTCTTCGTCCTCGTCCTTTTTCGCGAGAACTTCTATCATGTGGCTCCGGGAACTACAGGCATTAATTCCTCCAGACCAGGTATGCGCACAACATACTCTAGGTAAACTAGTAACAGCGGCGGAATACATGTCAGATGCTTCCCTCAACTCCACCAAATTTTCGGCTAGATCTATTGTAGCCACAGTTGCGTCCCGCAGATTCATGTGGCTCAAACACTGGAGGGCTGACCTAAAGTCAAGATGGCGTCTTGCTACAGACACCTACAGTGGCAAGAATTTATTTGGCCAAATCCTAGAGGCGTACCTGGTTGAAGGGAAGGATAAGAGAAAAACCTTAGCTCATCCATCCAAGAAGACGGATAGGAGACCTCAACAAGAATTTCGCAGGCAGTCCTTCAGGGCCGGAATTTCTTGGGAATGGAGGCAGCCCTTTCGATCAGGGCAGTCCTGGGATTGGCCCAGAGGTTCCTGATCCTTCTCCCCCAGACAGGATCGCCAACAGGACCGCCAGAATTCAGGAGCCAGGGGTCAGTTCCAGACCAAGCGACCCTTCAGGGGGGCGGGAGGCCGTCCATTCCGAAGGTCTAAGTGACGCCAGGTTGGACCCTCCCATAGGCGGACGCTTAACCCTGTTCAGCGACACTTGGGAGGTCACCACAAACGATACCTGCGTGAGAGAGACCATAAGATTCGGTCTAGCCCTAGAACTAAAGTCCATACCACCAGACCGTTTCCTTCAGTGCCCCGCCTCAAGACACGCACACAAGGCCGAACTAGTAGACACAGCAATATCACACTTATTAGAAATAAGAGCCATAGAATCAGTTCCTCCGGAACAAAAAGGAAAAGGGTTCTACTCCATTCTCTTTGTGGTTCCCAAGCCCTCGGGGGGATGGAGAGCGATATTAGATCTAAAGGGACTCAACCGCTTCCTAATCTACAGGAAGTTCAAAATGCAGTCCCTCAAGTCCATTCTAGCAAGTGTCAGGAAGGGAGATTACCTCTCCTCCATAGACCTGACAGAAGCCTACCTTCATGTTCCTATCAGACCACATCACCGCAGATTCCTCTGCTTCTGCCATGCAAACAGACATTATCAGTACAGGGCACTTCCCTTCGGTCTATCCTCGGCACCACGGGTATTCACAAAGATACTGGCAGTATTAGCGGCACATCTCAGATTAATACCGGTAAGAGTACAATGTTACCTGGACGATATAATCATCCAGTCCAGTTCATTCCACACTGCTCAACTAGATCTACAGACCACAATAGAGACACTTCAGAGACACGTCTTCTCAGTAAATTTCAAGAAGAGCCACACCACCCCTACCACTCGGATCTTGCATCTAGGGGCGGTGATAGATTCAGACCTATGCAAGGTCTACCTCTCCCAGGAACGCAGGGACGGTATCAGATCCTTAGTTCGCAGGATCCAGAGAGAGAAGGTAGTTCCCTTGTTCAGTTGTCACAGCTGTTGGGGAAGATGATTTCTTGCCTAGGAATAGTGCCGTGGGCCAGTCTTCATTCCAGACATCTACAATGGTTCCTGCTTCCCTTCCAGAAGCGGAACATGAATGCCTCCACACGGAAGGTGAGAGTTCCGTACCACACTCTACAGTCACTCAGATGGTGGGGGTCACCAGCCATACACAAGGGGACATTCTTCAAGGAGCCTCACAAACTTATCCTGACCACAGACGCCAGTCTGTTTGATTGGGAGCGCACATGCAGAAAACATATGGCTCAGGGTCAATGGTCCAAGCACGACCTCACGCACAATATAAATTGGCTAGAACTAAGGGCAATACACCTGGCTCTTTGCCAGTTCTCCAACATAGTGAAGGGGAATCATGTCCTAGTAATGACGGACAATGTCGCAGCCAAGGCTCATATCAACAGACAGGGAGGGACCAAATCTTGGTCCCTCATGCAGGAGGCCCTAGCATTGGGTCTGTGGGCAGAATCCCATCTGAAATCCAATTGAGCAGAACACATTTCCGGGGAGGAGAATCGTCAGGCAGATTCTCTAAGCAGGGCGACGATAGACCACTCGGAGTGGCGATTGGAACCGAACCTCTTCAGGGAAATATCGGAGAGGTTCGGGCAGCCTCAGGTAGACCTGTTTGCTTCGCCAGCAAATGCTCAGCTTCCCAGGTATTTCACGCGGTTTCCGTCACGGGGGGCGGAGGGAACGGACGTGCTACGCAGCAGATGGCCCAAGGGACTTCTGTATGCCTTCCCTCCACTTCCCCTGATTCCAGCTGTCATCAGGAAACTCCTATTAGAGGGGGCAGAATTAATCTTGCTGGTCCCACATTGGCCAAGGCGTCCTTGGTTTGCAGATCTCGTGGACCTATCAATCTCCCCACCTTGGAAGATTCCAGCAGATCGCATCTCCCTCAGTCAGGGTCAGCTCCAACATCCGGACCCGCAGTGGCTTCAACTAGCCGCTTGGCACTTGAAAGGGAGAGCTTAACTAGACAGTCCTATTCGACTGGAGTGATTGCTATAATTCAAGCCTCCAGACGTCCCTCCACTAACAGGATCTACGATGCCACGTGGAAAAGTTTCTGTGCATGGTGTAACACCAGGAGGGTCAACCCACTGGCTAGCACCATTCCGATATTATTGGACTACCTTTTAGACGGACTAAACAGGGGACTGTCTCACAATACCATCCGTAGGCAGATCGCAGCATTATCCACGGTCCTCATTTGCAAGGATCAGGTACAGCTATCTCATCATCCAGCTGTTACGGCCTTCCTTAAGGGAGCGGTTAATACAGGTCCCCCTGTAGTACACAGATATCCCACATGGGACCTGCCAAGGTTTCTGCAGGTTCTTACCAGTTCACCATTTGAACCCATCAGATCTTGTTCACTACACTTCCTTTCATTGGAAGTAGCCTTTTTGATAGCCATCACCTCGGCAAGACGCATCTCGGAACTTGCTGCACTCTCGATCAGGGAGGATCTTTGTGTTTTTCTGGATGACAGAGTGATCCTAAAATTGGACCCTTCTTTCATTCCGAAAGTCAATACTAGCTTCCACAGGTATCAAGATCTGATTCTTCCAGACTTTTGTCCGCGACCTTCTCACCGTCTTGAAAGATTGTGGCATACATTAGACGTACGCAGGGCTTTGCATCACTATGTGAAGTGAACTGCTGCATTTCGTAGATCGGAGGCCTTGTTTGTGTCTTTCCAACCTTCTTCCATGGGTCTGAAAGTATCATCCTCGACCATTGGTAGATGGATTAGGGCCTGCATCTCTCACGCTTACAGGACTCAGTCTCTTCCTGTTCCTCCTCGCATCACTGCTCATTCTACACGTAGCGCTGCTACATCTGCGGCCTGGTCCACTCAGGCCTCGATTGAGGAAATTTGCAGGGCAGCCACCTGGGCTTCCCCCTCTTCATTTATAAGGCATTACAAGCTTGATAAATTCGCTGCCTCAGACGCATCCTTCGGCAGAAGGGTTCTGCAGCAGGTAGTCTCTACGCATGAGCCACAAGCCTAGACTTCCCTCCCGACAGGGACACGGGTGGCTTTGGTATGTCCCAATCGGTGGATGCTACATCTATCATGCTGGAGAAGGGGCGTTGTCTTACCTGAACGCCTTTTCTCAGCATGAAGATGTAGCATCCACACCCACCCTTAACACTTAGTCTAGGCAGATTTTTTTCAGGAGGAGCTACTGTGTCGGACCTAATGAACGCTTCGCCTCAACAAAACTGGGAAAGGAGCGCCCAAGGGAGGCGTGGCTAAAGTTTGGTCTTAGTCTAAATCTGAGCAGGAGGGCTTTGATTACCCAATCGGTAGATGCTGCATCTTCATGCTGAGAAAAGGCGTTCAGGTAAGACAACGCCCCTTCTAGAAGAAGCTGAGTTGCAATCAAGTTTTGCACATCCTTTTTCTATGTTTTTATCTATTCATTACTTTGAAAAAAAAAGTTTTCTCAGAGTTACAAAATGGACCCTGAGATGTCACACTAATTTCCCCTCTTTTGATTCCTTGGTTTAGAAGTTTAAGATTCCCAAGGGGAGGCTGGGAATAACCAGGACAGAAGATCTGTCTCTGCAGGACATGAAGAAAATTCCTACCCTAGCACTCATTGAACTAACCGCACTCTGTGATATTGTTGGTTTAGAGCTGAAGAGGAACAAGGCAGTTAAACGAAAGTCATCAGGTAAACTGTTCTTCACTCCCCTTCTTTTTTTCTATGGTAGCTATAATGTGTGTTTCCTGAAATTGCTGGGAAGGAAGGCAGGGTACAATTGCTAGATGACAAAGGGGAAACTTATTTGAAAGCTGCTTGCCACTGTGGTTTGAAAGATACAATACATCTGCAAATTTGGTACATGTAATTTCTGCTGCTGTTTGAATGTCACTATGATATCTTTGGAGACTAAATCACATAATAGTTGATTTTTTTTGGGGGGACAGAATCCTATTCAAAAAACAAGAACATGTTTTTGTAGGATGAATTGCTCTATGAGAGTGATTGGGGTTAGGATACATAGATGAGGAGAGAAAAGGTAATCTGCCCAAATGCAGTCTGTCTGTTCCTCAGTACGTTCAGAATATCTATCCAGCTTCTCTGTCCTAACTCCTCAATCTCAGATTCCTGGCACCTGAGTAGGGTTTCTTGTCTAGGAAATGAGCCTTCAACAAGTCTCCACGCTGCATCTTCCGCATGCTTCAGTATTCACTAGCCAGTTCAGTAATAACTGCAGCCATAATTCTTCTGCTTGTACCATTGCTGTGGTACTGCTGGCATACCTTCACCATTATTGCCACCACATCAAGGAGCCAGCTCAATTGGACTCTAGTCTCTATCAGCCTTCATAGGTATTGCAGCTCATGATTAGATCTTAAATCTTTTCTCTTTCTCCTTCTTGAATATGTCATTGTGAAAAATTCACAATATTTTCATAATATTGCTTGCCCATATAAAGCTTCTATCTTGAGTCAGAAGTATAGTCCATGGGTGATGGCTGTTTTTTGATATATTCCCAGCCTTCACAGCTGATGTTAATTTCAAGGTTATTTTCTCTCCTGTTTCATGGTGGTTCAAGGCAAGTCCAGGGTAAAGTCCATCAAGGAAACAGGCAATCTGCAAATGGCAGGCAGAGCTACAGAACCAGAAGAGAAAGCTGAATTGGTGGACATCATAATCACGTTATGGTCTTACTGTTTTAAGTACAGTTGCTTTTCCCTATGGTCTACTAAGCTGTCTTTATTTGTTCAAATTTTTGTTTTGTTTGAGGATGAAATAGTTTTAAATATAGTTGCCTTCATTGCAGAGCGCAAACTTTTTGGAGTTGCACTTGGCACTTTGCTGGAAAATGATCAAAAGCTCCTTCCAAACACCAGGGTTCCACTGATTCTGCAAGCGGTAAATTTATTTTATATCTTCTGTTGTTATCAGTTCTATGTTTTGAATTTAGCTGCAGTATTGTTGCTTTTTCATGATGACTTGCTCTTTTGCTTCACAGTTGCTTTCATGCTTGGAAAAGAAAGGGCTGGATACAGAAGGAATCCTGAGAGTTTCAGGATCCCAGTCTCGCATTAAGGTACATTGCTATGGCTTTTAATTCTGTTTCCTCTGGAATTCTTTTGAAATTTATTGGGCAATCTTCATATAGAACATTTGACCTGCAGTATATATAGAAGAATATCATAGGTTAAATCTAAATAAAAGTAAATAGAATGCAGACCACGGTCCATCCGTGGGTTACTGGACAGTTTTTGATAGACTATCAGGCAATTCCTGTTTGCTAGATTGTTCTTTGGAATACCTCTGCTAAGTGTTTAGGAAGCCATTTTATAAAAATGATGAATCAGTAGCATTAGTATCCTTATTTTTAAGGCCTGTGGAAGATGGGGAAAAATATAATGCACAAGATTCTTGGGATATTTGCTCATGTTTTCAGCTGTTCAACTGAGTAAGGAATTCTATCCAAAGATGCAAGTGATAGTCCCCCAGAATAAAAATCTCAATGAGAAAAAGAAAATATTTTTTCTTTGTCTCATTTGAATCCAGTATAGTAAACAGCACGTTGGTTCTTATGTTCATGAAGAAAGTGTACACGTTGATCACTTATCAAACTCTGTGTGATTCTTTAGGTATAGTCTTAGAAGTCTGGCACATCATACAGAATTTTAGAAGAATATAATCACGTCTGCTTCCCATTACAGTTGCAATCTGCAGTGCCCTGGAATCTTCTGTAAGATGCAAAGATGTCAGAAAGATGTTTGTTTCTCCGGGGTTATATTGGCTTAAAAAGTAAAAAAATATCATTAAAGGTTATTATCTGTTCACAACAAAGTGAAGTCTGAACTTCACAGTAACTCATTCACTAATTAGCCTAACTGTATTTGGCTTGATATTAGCTTATCAAAGCAGGTCATCTGACTTATAAGCCATGGTTAGGTGTCACATATAAGCAAAGCCACTTCAAATAATAGGTAAAAGAAATCACAACTTAATACAATCAGAGAATATGCTTACATTTGTTATTTCATCTTGGATTAAAAACAAAAAGGAGTTCCTTGCTCTGAGAATTTGTATTCCTCACCTGACCAGAAGATGGCAGCAGCAAGTAGAAAGAATGCCATTTTTGCTATATTCAGAGACATTTTAAAAACAATCTTTTCGAAATTGCTGCAATAAATCATTGTGATGTATTCAATCTGGACTGGAATTCTAATCAGCTTTCCATCTCTTAGCAGCAGCTATTCAGTTTGTAAGCGGTGGTACTGTATTTTGTCACTAGGAAAATGCTAAGTTACTGTTTTTCTTCACTTCTAAATGTTGATCCATCCATCCATTATTTGTTTCTGTAGTTGCATTTTAAGGCAGACATGCTGTTAATGCAGACCACATTTCTCTCTCCTTCATCCATGGGTTTGTTTTAACCAAATACTCTAAAGCAGGGGTCTCCAACCTTGGTAACTTTAAGACTTGTGGACCTCAACTCCCAGAATTCCTCAGCCAGCTTTGCTTTGCTGGCTGAGGAATTCTGGGAGTTGAAGTCTACAAGTCTTAAAAGTTGCCAAGGTTGGAGACCCCTGCTCTAAAACCTTTTTAACATCAAGGCATCTCTTTTCTCTTCCCCTTTCCTCATTTTCTTCCCCTTGCATTAGTGTTTGGAACAAAAACTGGAAAATGAGTTCTACACTGGCTTCTTCCGGTGGGATGAGGTGCATCAAAATGACGTCTCTGGTCTGCTGAAGAGATTTATTCGAGAGTTACCCACACCTCTTCTAACAGCAGAATACTTGCCTGCCTTTGCAGCTGTGCAGAGTAAGTGTTAGGCCAAGCAGAGAAGATTTCCTAGCCTTCAGCACTCATTCTTTCTCTCCTCCCTTGTTGGAGAAGGCATTAGGCTGTAATGGATGTGTTGCTGGACACGTTCTGTAGCTGTCTGTGTCTATTTTCTTGCTCAGTCATAAGGAGAACATTTATATAAGCTAGCAGTAAGTGCATCATCTGCTACCTCCTAGATTCCTTGCTCTACTTGATTTTATTGTACACTTAGATTTTTTAAAAAATAAAAATGGAAAAGGGTGATGATATGCCTCAAAACAAAGCAGTAGTGTTGAGCATAATAATTTCCAAGAATCATAAGCTCAGAGTTCCTTTTGAACTGCAGAAGGAAATAAAAATGAAATAAAAAAATAAAAACTACAGCCCAGTGCTATATTCAGAAGAGGCTCACCTAACCTTCAGAAAGAAAGCTGGGATGATAAAGGTGATTCTGGTAGGAGTGTTAAAGAAGATGGTGGAGCATAAGCTGTCAGTTTACACTCTTATATAAATGGGTATTTTGTGCCTGTCCACACCCATCATGGTAAAGCCATTTTGGGAATAGAAATCTTCCCCCATTCATATTCATTCATTCTTTCTCTCTTTCTCTCTCTCTCTCTCTCTCTCTCTCTCTCTCTCTCTCTCTCTCACACACACACACACACACACACACACACACCCCTCTTGCTTCACTTGCTCTAACTCAGGCATGTCAAAATACCAAAACCATGCCCACCCCATTGCTGGCAATGGAGAAAAAGTTGCGATACGTCGCGCGATGTCACATGATGTCGTGAGTTTGACATGCCTCCTCTAAGTCTTAATGATTCTACTTATACTTTCCTACAGCTCTCTGGAAGAAGATGCAACTCAACCTTGGCATGATTTTTTTTTTCAGATGGTGCAATTGAAGTAGTCATAGAAAACACTGTTGTTTGTGAACACTTTTGAATAACTACAGTAGTTCCCATGATAGTAGCAGTTTCCTATCACTTAGGCTTAGGTTTCCTATATGGCTCAAGTTGAATGCTTTTCATATGAGATACGTGAAATGGAGCAGCTGGCTGTTCAAAATCAGAGTCTTTGAGGATTAATTCTCAAAAGGAATGCAATTGTTCTCTCCTACTACAGATATCACAGATTTGATACAGAGGCTGCAGGCTCTCAATCTGCTCATACTGATTTTACCAGAACCTAACCGAAACACCCTGAAGGTAATCAGGCAAATGCTGCCCAGGGAGCTATGACTTGAATAATTTTCAATGGCAATAAATCACTAAATAAAAGCTGTAGCTTGGTAGTACAGTACACTATTTTTTGGAATAAGGTCTTAGATTCCCAATTTTCTCCAGCTGTTAAAGTCTTATGTTTGCAATGTTAGGCAGTCTGGTTTTTTTCAACCTTGGCAGCTTAAAGATGTGTGGACCAATTCCCAGAACTCCCCAGCCAGCCACTTATTGATATTGTTATAATAGGCTTGAATGGGATTGCTTTTAAAAGAGATGGGCAATGAGTACTACTTCAGATATTGTGGGAATGCCACTCCCATCATCCCCACCCTTGTATACTGACCAGCTTGATGGGGCTTAGGGTTCAGGAGTTGGAGGAGCCTGTTGTTCATAATTGTTTTAAAAATTCCACAAATTTGCATGCAGGTTTTTGTTGCTGTTTTGTTCAATTGTTTCGTCACTTTCTATTCTTTATGAGAAAGTGGACATTATTTTGCCAGAATGATGAAGACTTGTTGGTATCTGCTTGACTCCATGCCCCATCAAAAGGAGATTTTTTAAAAATTTAAAAATAAAAACTAAACAGAAGTTTTAGTGTTGCAGAGCACATTTATTTCCAAGAATGGGCTCATTAACACACTTAATGAAATAAAATTTCATGATAGCTTCAAAATAGTGCTTTAATAGTGTGTCTGCCTGTTAGGAAATAGCATATGCTTTGAAATTCTGAAAGTACTAGTAATGCAGAAGTGTTACGAATTTCTGCTAACTCATACAAGTTAAAGACTTCAATGCCCAGACATCAAAATATTTTTGATGTGCAAAGTATTTCTACCATAACTTTTTAGAAGGATTATAACACTGAACAACTCACTCAGCTCAGTTTGCAGATTTGGGCAGCAGATACATATCATCAGTAAGCAGTCCTTATATTCAGTCTCTTTGGAATCAAATAATTCTCTCCTCTCCTCTCTCAGGCACTACTGGAATTCCTTAAGCTGGTAGTTACCAAAGAAAGAAAAAACAAGATGAGCCTTTGGAATGTTTCCACAGTGATTGCTCCAAATCTCTTCATGCATAAGAGTTTGCCAAGCAAGATCCCAGAAGGAAAAGAGAAGCAGCTGGCAGAAGGAGCAGCAGATATTGTTCGAATGATGATCCATTATCAAACTTTGTTCTGGACTGTAAGTTAGGGGAAACTTTATTTACCAAGTCATTCTTAAATTATCATCAGCAAAAACTTAATGTAATATTTTTCCATAAAGTGTTGATTAAAAGGATACTTTTAGTATTTAAAATAACCTCTTTTCACTTTCTATTTCATGCTAACAATATTCCATTATTTAGATTCAAAATCATTCTTTATGTATAAATAACTCTGATCTAAGAACTATTATTTTCAAGCAACCAAGAAATTTCCAGTGCCAAATGGCTGATACAATTAAATTGGACTTATAAAGGGTGATAGTAGATGTAATTAAACGTATCAAAAAAGCACATTGGTTGTTTCTCCCATCCTCAAGAGATAATTCAGAATGATTTCATGGAGATTTCTCATATGAATGAACTGTATCACAGAGTTTGCACACTTGTCATTTTTCATGTTTGCTTTAGGTTCCTTCTTTCTTGGTAACTCAAATAAGAAAACTGAATGAGAACAGCAGCTGGAAGTATCAGTTCTATGACAGGAGGATCAAGAATCTGTTAAAAAAGATTCATGCAGACAAGGAAAAGACAGAAAAAAACAATGTTGAAGTGAGTGAGATCTTCTCTGTCCAGCCACTTTGTATCACTAGGACATCATAAATGGGACTAAATCTACCTATCCTCCCTAATAATTTTGGTGAATGAAAGTGATAGGGAGAATCTGTTCATATTGGCATGTGTAGGGCTTTAGCATCCAATTGTAAGCATGGATGATTTGGAGGACCGAGGGGAGCTGGAAAAGGTAGAAATGAAATCCATCTGTTCTAACTCCATGCATATGGTCCTCAACTTATGACTATTTGCTTAACAACAGTTGGAATTAATTATGGATTCTGAAAAAGTCAGTAATGACCTGAATTTGAAACCAACATGCGATTGCAAATTGAATGCTAGGCAACCGGTTCACCTTTATGACTAGTTGCACTACCTTGCAGTTAAGTGATGACAATTTGCGATGTTTGTTGCTGGTTTCCGGCAAAAAAAAAAAAAAATGCCATTGGTTAACATGGGTTTGCACTTAACAATCATGTGACTTGATTTACAACCATAGTAAAATGGTCATAAACTCAGGTCTGATCACATGACGACTCAACCTATGACTGCAGTGATTGACAATGAAAATTCTAATCCCAGCTGTGGTCGTAAGTCAAGGAGTACCTAGAGGCTGATTTAACAGTACATTCAAGACATGTACACAAATGAAATGATGGCTCCACAGTATTACTTCTCCTAACTGCTACAATCATGCATAACTTTGTTCTCTTCTGAAGTGACTTTTTAAAGGCTTTGGGCTGTACATTCAGTTTTGATGTGCAAAAGATCGTCAAAATCTTGCAAGGCAGTTTCTTTCATGTGATTCCTGCATGATGAAAAAGAAATTGGGCTGTGTTTTTTTGTGACAAATTCCTTCAAGAAAAGAAAGGTCTTTCCCTCGTGTAAACACAAGGGGGCAGTCCTGTTTTATCACATCTAGGCATTCAAACCGCTTCTTCTTGCATGTGAAAAAAGTGGTTTTAATATTATTTCTTTATGGTGGGGTGTCAAACTCGCAACATCACATGACATGTCACAACGTATCATGACTTTTTTTCCATTGCCAGCAATGGGGTGGGTGAAGTTTTGCCATGTCGGCAGTTTGACATCCCTGCTTTATGGCAATCTTCCCTTTGCTCTTACTGTCTGGAGGTATACACGCAGCAGATAATTTGGAGGCAAGAATAACTCCAAGCCCTGATTAGCTCAATATACCTCCATACTTGTTACAGGCATTTGGATTCATTTTTGATTCTTTCTTCATCTCTCTTTTATTACCGTCCCTTTCTTTCAGCCTTGCAAAATTGTCAAAATCCAGACTTCCTTGTTCTTAAAAGACTCGCTGGAAGTTCATTTAACTCATGGAACAAAAGTAGCTGATGTTCTGAGACAGTTCCAGAAGAACCTTGGTCAGAATGGCTGGAATATTGTCAGCACAGTCAACATTATCAAATGGTAATAGTTTCCCATTTCCCCCCTTGCCCTAAGCCAAGTTATAGTTATGACTTGGTTTTGCCTACATGTTAAACAGGAGAAATTTGAACACTGTGAGTTAAATAGCATTTAAAGGAAAGATATCTGTGTCCATGTTTTCAGTGGCTAGAGAAGTCAGCTCAATCACACTATACAAAGAGTTTCAGTGAGCACTTGATTGATTGATTTTTCATTACTTTAGTAGCTCCTTAAGACTAATGGGATACTGGTTTCTGACTTTTCAAATTTGGAGGTGTTTTCTGGGGAATGTATATTAAGCTACTAAGTGCATCTGTACATTACATTATTAAAATCAATTAATTCCAAGATAAAAACATCTTTATGTATAATGTACTACTGTACTTTACTACCATAAAAAATTAGAACACTCCTGCATAGGGACTGGTAACTGAAAGAAATTCCCCTTCACCTTATAATTGACAAAAATCCTAAAGTTAAAGAATTGAAATTAATGCAAGTGTGGTTCTGCAGATTAATATCTGGTTATTGAAACCATCTCTTTCTATCTCTTGACTATGAGGCCCAGCAGAGATGCAAGAGGATACTAATATTCAGTATCCATGGCAACCAGACTGGTTCCACCTTGAAGGAAGAGATTCCAACAAATATGTGCTGCATTAGATTGCCACTCTTTGAAAAACACTTTTCTGTTTTTAAAATTGCCGTCCCATACAAATATAGTCAGTCTGGAGGAATTTGGGTCTGCTCTTGAGAAGGAGGTAGGAGAGGCGAAATGTTTGCTTAGTTCTGGGAAAGTAGAAAATGTGAAAAAGAGAGTTTATTCTGTTTTCCTTAAAAAGAGATAATGAAAATTTGGGATAGGCTTTAAATATTTTCTTATATACCCTACAACACTAAAGTAGCATGATTGAAATCGCTGCTGTGTCTGTTTCTTGACTTGGGCCTACTTTAAGTAGTTGACATCAGCCATTTCCCCCCAAAACTAAAAGTGAGCAAAATAAATATAAGTCACATCTTTGCTAAAGATATCTTTGCATTTAATATGGCATGCTTAATGTGCCGATATTAAAATGCTGTATGTTTTAGTTGGGAAGCTGTGTTAGACCAAGGTGGATGGCGAGAATTTGATCTATTGTTGAACACTCTGAAGTTTAGGATTTATCCATGTAGTTATCTACAAATTCGTAACCATGTAATTTTCTTGGGAGTAATACAAAAGTGGTTTGTTATTACCATCTTGTGGTTGTGAAAGAGGAGGGCTGGTTGGACTTCCAGGTCTAAGCTTCAGCTCTGATCCCTTATTCATGTATTCATTCCCTTTTTGCGAGGGGACCAGGTCAGCATGGTACTTCCACCTAGATTTAAAGAAATTTCACATTATCAGTAGATGAATACTGCTACTAAAGCCAACTTTCTAAAGAGGCATTTTCTGCTAGGATGAGAAAGGTTTAATTTTTCTGTCAAATCTGATTTCCTTCTTGTCTCTCCCCCATTGAATGCAATATAATTTTAAAACAAGGAACCAGACATCAGATAGAAAGAAGTATTTTGTCATGTGAACGTTGCTTTTAGAGTATCAATGTACAGTCTCTAGAGACCTTGCTTGTTAGCTGGTTCTTATGCTTTATAGTTTCTGTTATAATCTTGATTCTTACAAAACCTTTTGGGCCAAATCCCAATCTGGATAATGCTGTCAATTCTATTCTGGTGCTGTATTATAGAGATCTGACCCTTCAAATTATGATAATTGAAAGCAGCTAAAATATAGCAATAAGTATAATACTTACTAGTCACAGATTAACAATTATGACTCAAATATGTGGCTGACTTAGAAAATCTTCTTCTGATATAATTTATATTTCTGTTTGTAAGAGGTTCCCTATGCATAGGAAGTAGTTTTCTTGTCTTCTTTAGTAAATAAAATGTATGCCTGTTCAGTGGAAAAAGGAAGGATGTGCCACAATAGATTTAAGGCATTAGCACTTAATGCTCTATTAATGGCAAACCTTTTCCACCAGGAGCAGTGCAGTTTGCTTGTAACACATTCAAGTATCTCTTGAACAGGCTGTTGAGTTAAGTTGAAATGTTGTCAATAGGTATTGATTTTTTTAGCCTTTTTATTTTCTTGAGGAGGTTGCCTTTTGTTAGTTGTTAAGGGAAGGAAGGGAATGTCTTCACTAGACTATTGTTCTCTTGAGCAGTTTTCTCTGGCATATGCCCTAGAGATGTGTTGTACACAACTTTCATAATTTCCACCTACCATGGTCAAAGTGTAGAAATTAATTAAATTGATAATATGTCTCAGGATGTAGAATCTTATACAAAGATAAAATATAAAGACTCTCTAGAATCTATAACCCTTGTCTTTCTTACTGCCATTGTTACTGAGGTAATTGTTTGGTTTTTTTCAAGGACAGCTACATGCTATTCACATGTGGCTGATTATGTGCCATCAAGTAGGTGACCTCCACAATGTTCTGTCCCCAACTTGGCCCTTCATGCCTTCCAATGGCATATCCGTTGCTGCTGTAATTAAGTTCATCTGTCTTGCTGCTACCTGTCCTCCTCTCTTTCCTTCTGCTTTTCTCAGCATTATGGATTTCTCCAGAGAGCTTGGACTAATGTGTCCAATGTATGATCATTTGAGTCTCATCATTTGTGCCTCAAGAGAGAACTCTGAGTTGATTTGTTCAGTGATCCATTTCTTCATTTTGGAGGGGTGGGGGTGGGGGTGGGTGGGAATTCTCCATTGTATTCTCAGCATCAAGACTCTTTCTGTATTCACATGTACCTTGGATTAGTTCTGACCGTATATAGATTTATTATCAGTCTCTCTAGTTTAAAAACTATAACTTATTATAAAATTATTGTTGCTTTAAAATAAAGTTTTAACTAGGATTTATTAAAAAGATATATTTTAAATAGTTTTTTAACTTGTTTTTTTTAACCTTTTGAAAATCAGATTTCTCTAAGCTTAAATGTAGATTAATAAGAACAGTATTTTGTTTGCTGAACATTGAAGCATATTGTTGTGTTTTTCTTTGTTTTGCAGTAATGGTTCAGTGGATTCAATGAACTTCCTACTTTATGAAGTTGGCGGTAACATAAGTACGTGAATTTTATATTCTTGCAGTAATTCTTGTTCAAGGGGTAAGATTTGGCAATGGAGAATAACCACTGTTGAAAGAATAAATAGGCAGTGGGCGGCAACTAAGAATTGACAGCTTTGACTATAGCCCAGTTACAAAGCAGCATAGAAGTTGCTGAGAATTGTTCAGGTTGGGCATTCAGAGAAAATCCTTTTGATCAAATGTAAGAGACAATAGTCTGGTTCCTACAACCTGACAAAAGCATAATCTTGGTTTAGCATTACGTGTGAAATATGAAGGATTCATATAAGATAGTGTCTAGTAAAAGTTGTTCCATATCTAAAAGAGAGAATAGCTGCCAAGTGAGAATGAAAATGCTTCCCAAGGACATTCTTGGCAAATAGGATTTCAGCTACTACAAGTCCATTTTTAGCATTATGCTCAGCAGACTGTTTGGTTCTGTCATGAGCCTAATTCATCTCTGCATTTTCTCTTTAAAACTAGAAACATTTTCTTCATAGGATCTTCCACCTTCCTATTCTTTATATTCTTTACTTGTAGCCCAGGAATAATGTTTCATGAAAAATGTTTATGAAATCATTTGAAACTAATGACTAAGCATAAAATAAATTCTAGTGCTAGGTTTATAGCTCATTTTTAAAACTAAACAAACTGTTTCCCCTTCTAACAGATGAACATTGCCTGGATCCAGATACATATCTTTTAGACCTGTACCATGTGAATCCTCATGCAGAATGGATTATAAGGCAAACCCCATCTTTTCCAAGAACACCTTAGGGAGACTGCTTTGTAAAACAACAACAACAATGGAACTAAGAATTGTTTAAACAAAGATGAAATGTTGGAACCAAGCACCATATGTTCATGAAGATAACAATTTAAATGGAGCAGTAGCTCCAAAATTGGAAAATTAGCAGTTCCCTTTGAATGAGACATAGCCAATAGAAGATGACAGTATTGAATGATAACATGGCTTATATCATAGAAAAGCTGGTAGGAAAAAAAAAAAAGGACGGAAGGCATTTGGAAAAACTCATGCAGATAATCTGATTTTAAGGTTTGTTCACATTAGAGCATATCTCAATATGCAATAGCTGGTTATCAGTGTTGACTTTTATAATGTGAAACTGAATATTTGAATTAAGGCTTCTGGTACAACGATATAATTTTTTAAAAATATTCCTATTGCTTTATTTCTGGAGAGCTTAATTGATAACCAGCTGCCTAGAATATAGGAGGAAAATTGATTACTATAGTGGGAGTACTGCTTTAAGAATGCTTCTGTCCATGAATGGGGTGATCATGCTATACACAAGTAATAACTGTAAGTAAAGAAAGTCTTCTGTAATGACTTTGAGCATTGCAGATTTACATAGAAGTTGTGTTTGTATAAGTTCAGTTTTACAATGACATTTTAAAAAAGAATATGTCACAATAAACCGTCTCAGTATTATTGTTTATATACATTTTTCTCATATTCAAATTGGATTTCATTTCGTAATATATTTTCTTCTGCAAAGATCCCCAATTAGAAATTTCTTACATATTTTTAAGACAATTCATAAGTATCTGAGCCATACAATAATTTAATATTGATGCTTTTTTGTTTCTTTGATATACTTTTTTTAAAAAAAAATCACTTATGAATATATTTAGGAAAAATCTGTTGCATTCTCAAGAAAGCCATGATACTTCACTTGGACATAAATGTAATCCGATACCAACTTTTTCAAACCACATGCCAAAGAAAACCCATGTATTAGTAACACAATATTTTGTATTTTGCAACTTTCGGAGAATTCATTTTGAAGATTTATTTTTAATACATTGTATTAGGTAGTTCATCAAGCCTTGGAATTTTGTTGGATGATAGAATTGCAGAAGTGTGTGGAAATGATGCTGCTAAAAGTGATAATTTTATGTATATAATTTCTCCACCTTCTCAGTGTTTAACCATCCTGAAACCTGGTACTTTTAGATGTGTTGGACCTCAGCTTCCCATAGACCAGTGTTTCTCAACCTTGACAATTTTAAGGCATATGGACTTCAACTCCCAGAATTCCACAGCCAGCATTGCTGACTGTGGAATTCTGGGAGTTGAAGTCCACATGCCTTAAAATTGTCAAGGTTGAGAAACACTGCCATAGACTGACTTAGGAATTGAAGTCCAAAATATACATGGAAGGAATTAAGTTGTGATAATTACTTCCATTTATCACTGTAGTTTTCTTCTTCTAGATAGTGATAATTCCCAAGAACATTCTGATAGCATACATTGGACTAATCAAGTAAGCTTAAGTATATCAAAGCCTAACTCAGACTAGTTGTTGACTAAGTCCCTTGAATATTGATACAAATTATTTTGATACATCAGATGAAACAGATTCATACCAGTACAATAAATGATGCAGTTTGTAGAGCATGCAGATAGTCAAATGGAAAAAAAGTTTTGATCCATCAGGAGAAACTTTGTGTGAGATACCGAAAGTGAATAGTAGTGGATAAAAATGTTTACTTTGATATTTATAAAAATCTCAATGCTATAACAATGAGGCCAGACTTTTTAAAACAAATATTGTTGAAATAGATTTTTGAGATAATAATGATATGAGTGTTATAAAGGAGACACCTGTAATATATAAGGGAAAACACCCTCCTTAATTTTGTCCTTAACTTGATTTTTTAAAATCATTTTGATATGTTTTGTGTCCTTGTTGACAGTAGTTAAAGCAGTGAAGCATAAACTGCATGTTTTTAATAATGGTTTTTATTAATATTTTAATGCTGTGTTTAAAACAGTTATACAATAAATAACTAAACATATTTCCAAAAAAAATCCTGTTTTAGGTTGCATTTTGTTTGTTTCTGGATCTACTTCGTAAAAAAAAAAAGCTGTAAATTTATTTAGTGATCAAATTTATTTGCTGCCTATCTCGTGGTTCAGGTGGCTGAGTGGTTTACAATGATTTTGTCTATGCAGCATGTTCAGTTGAAACACATGAATAAAAAAGCATGTTATACCTTAACATAATGTGTGACTACAACCAGGTCTATTATGATGTAGGGTTTTTTTTTTAGGCATAAAGCTAGTTTGACATGACTAGTTTTTCAGAACCTTGTTTGAATTTTTGGATATAAAGAACTCTGGAATTGCTGTTTTTCATCCTTGCCAGATACTGAAACCAAGATGACAAGTCATTTTCCCAGAGCCTCTTCCTCTTTGAAGTAGTTTCCTGTGTCTAGTTATGTATAGGGCTATCCAGAACATTTCAAAACAGTTGTACTGAGTCTTTGGAACTCAAAACAAAATGTTTGAGCAAAACATGTTATTTTGCTTTGATGTGAAGTAACATTGAGCTATGCTCAGGGCCTCATTTTGTGTGTGTGGGGGTCCCATGTTGTAGTTCAGCCATAACTTGGTTTATTTTGGGGCTTGTGCTTTTTCAAACTTTTGGCAATATAGTAGCAGCAACCAATAATATCTCTGCTTCTTTCATTTATACTGGATGGGATAATTTAGAAGTGGAGTGATGAGAGGAAAGCAGTGATTTTATTTTATTTATTTTATTTGTTAAATTTATATGCCACTCATCTCTTCGATAGGTGACTCTGGGTGGCTTACAGAACATAACAGCAATTAAAATTAAGCACATGACCAGACAGAATGTCTACTGGATTCTAGACTCTACTCAGCTTTTCGCTTTAATGCTATTCTGTCTATATGATTTGAGCACTTAAACAATTGTTAACCTCACCGTTACATTTCTTATTATCTCTCTTTAATATCCAGCAAGTTTACCTATGGGAACTAAGCATACCTCTGTATTAAGAAACTCTTCCATACTTCATTTGTAATTCTTGGAGTAGACAAAAGTCAGTTTAATTTGCTTCTTTTGACCAACTGGCTTATCATCTGATTGCAGGACACCTCGTAGAAGAGATAGGCACGGATTCATTTATACATATCTCTTTCTTCTTTCGTGCTGTGTCTGAAAAGGAACAAATACTTTAAGTCTCCCTTCAATTTAAGTCAGAAATTATCTGTATTTTTCCAGAGGAAAATTGAAAATAGTATTTCTTCTTCCAGAGAAAAAATGAAAACTCTGGTGATTTCTTTCTGAGATAGCTCCAAAACTCAGAAACAAGAGTTCTTCATAGTAATTGTCCAAACCACAGTCATCCAGCATTAAAATCTTTAAGAAATGTCTTCACATTCACAATACTAGCAAAGTAGTTGCTAATTAGTGTGACCATTGAAGGAAGGGGACATTACAAAATTATGTGATTTTGTTCACACCTTATTTCAAAAAGAATATTGGGGAAAATAGTGGTAAGCAGAGCAGGGCAGGAATGAGGCCTGGAATATAAGTAAAATTAGAATATAGAGATTAAAATTTTGAGACTCTAGAAATTTCTAGAGTACAGAGTAGAGCAACAAAGATTAGGAACTAGAGGCTAAACTATACAGTGAATGGTTGCAGGAACTATGAATGTGTAGTTTAATGAAGAAAAGGACTACTTGTGACATATAGCAGTCTTTCAATTTTAGACAACTATTCTCCAAAACATCTGAGGGCAAGACAAGAAGTAACAGATGGAAACTTAATAAAGAGGTAGCCAACCTAAAATTAAGGAGAAATTTCCTATCAGAACAATTAATCAGTGGAATGGCTTGCCTCCAGAAGATGTGGATGCTCCATCATGGAGGTTTTTAAGAAGAGATTTGACAGCCATTTGTCCAGAATGGAATGGGATCTCCTGCTTGAGCACGGGGTTGGAGTAGAAGACCTTCAAGGTCCCTTCCAATTCTCTTATTCGTTATTTTGTATTTCTGTCTACACTATTTATGGTATCTTAAATTCTTATGAAGAATTTATATTATCAGGAAAAAACTATCCAGTTGCTTATTTATTTTATGTTCTGTTTCAAACTGTTGCACACTAAGAAACTCAGAACATTGCATCTATGATCTAGTATGAGAGCAATTCTCCTATTTTTTTATTCTGAAACTTCAGGTTATAATTATTTAATCACCTCTGTTGGTTGCTATTGTTTCTGAGTATTTCCCTGTGGATTTAAAATAGTTTTGGAACTGCATGCAATGCTTAAAGGGAGTATTTATAGTGTGTATGTGTATGTCTGTATGGCATATTCCATTTTTTAATATGAAGTTGGTTGCTGGGGGGAAGGGAAATAGGCAACAAGGACCATAATAAATGAGAAAGATGAAGGGAGAATAGTGGAAAATGGGCTCCTGTCAGGTGCAGACCTATACAAATACTATAATTAACCTTAAAGTGTGTATCTCCTGCTGCCTTCATTATAGCCTTTTATGTACAGATGTAAATTGAGGTGGCAATTCTCTTCTACGCTGATGACACTGGTAAGCCATACTTTGTACACAAGAGTAAAATTGGGTATTATTTATAACAAACCAACAGAGCTGGTTGATGATTTAGATTCCAGTTTACAAGAGACAATTAAGAATATTACATTGTTTTCTATCTTCTTTTTTAACCAAAAAGCAGAAAGAAAATCATGGGGCTTCTTTAATAGCCCTTGTGAGTCTACTTCATGTCCTTAGAGCACATTTGTTGTGTGTTGCATTTATTATGATCCACTTGTTATTATCCATAATTATTTTGCTTGGAGGAGGTCTCTTACTCAACAGCGAAATTTGCAACTTGATGATGAACTCTCAGCTGCCTGTATTTAAGGTAAAATTACTGCAATTAAGGAAGTGATCAATTCATGTAGCTATCTGACTGACTTTGGACAGAACAAAAGGACAAAATTAGAAGAGCTTTAATAGCATCAGGGCAGGAAAGAGGGCTGCAGATTTTAGGAGCAACAAAAGTAGCCTGCATTTGAAATGACAAACTACATAATCCTGGTTGAGTTTATTCTTTCTATAACCAGACAACATTGCACCTATTCTCAGAAATGTGTAAAGTGGAATTAAAGAATAATATATAAAACCAAATGTAGCCCAAAATGTATGGAACTAATAATAATAGTAATATAATAATAGTAATATAACAACAACAAAACAACAACAACAATAATAAAGTTGGAAGGGACCTTGGAGGTCTTCTAGTCCAGCCCCCTGCTCAGGCAGGAAACCCTATACTATTTCAGACAAATGGCTGTCCAGTCTCTTCTTAAAAACTTACAGTATTGGAGCATTCACAGCTTCTGGAGGCAGGTCGTACTACTGATTAATTGTTCTAACTGTCAGGAAATTTCTGCTTAGTTCTAAGTTGCTTCTCTGTTTGGTTATTTTCCATCCATTGCTTCTTGTCTTGCCTTCAGGTGCTTTGGAGAATAGCTTGACTCCATTTATAATATATTCCCCAATGTTGGTTTGGTTTGTTCAACAACCTTGCTAGATGCAGTTAAGAGTAGTGATTTTAACACTACTTTCACTGTGCAGAGTACTTAGAAATCATTTTCGCAATAAATCTTTGAAGTTAACAGGAATGGGGTGCAGATGAGTTTTGCATACAAAAGATTTATGATTCAGTCCCTGGCATCCTCAGATTGGGCATGAAAAGGAGCCTGCCTTTCGCTATGGTGAAGCCCTGACAATCAGGATAGATCAGTTTTTCCAAATCTGATAATTTTTTCAGATATACTGTATCTGGTTATAATTCTAGCCATTTCCACCATATCTTTTCTTTTCCTCCCACCTACAGCGTCTTCTAGGGATCTTGATCACTTTTATATTATTTTTAAATTGGCTTAATAAAGATATTGTCTAAAGTGGATTGCGAAATGTGTAAGTATATGCTCTTTCAGATAACTTTATAGCTTTTTTAAAGGATACACATTTGCTGCTCAATTTGTTGCAAGACTCCAGATGTCATTCCTCCAGGATTTGCTTCTGTTGGTAGAATCAACAGATCCCATTATATTTACTAGTTTTGAACATATCTTACTACTGTTAAAAATGCAAATGTTGCCTACAATTAACAGGTATCCTTGACTTAAATCACCACAGTTGGGACCAGAATTACAGTTACTAAACAAGGCAATTTTTGAATGAGTTGCACCTGATTTTATGACTTTTTTGCCACAGTTGTTAAGCAAATCACTGCAGTTAGGTGATTCTTGTGGTGGTTAAGCAAATTTTCCCGTTGCCTTTGCATTTCAGAAGTTGTCTGGGAAGGTCTCAAATGACAATCACTTGATCCCGAGATATTGCACCCATCGTAAACATAGATTCCAAAGTGCACAGATTATGGAGATGCTTCAATGGTTATAAGTGCGAGGACCAGTCATAAGTCACTTTTTTCAGTGCTGTTCTAATTTTAAATGGTCACTTAATAATTGGTTGTAAATCGAGGGTTATCTGCAGGTTAGTGTTATATAGAATGCTGCTAAATACTTGTAATTGACTTATATTGGATGAATGTTTTTTTTCCCCTCACGCGTCTGCTATTTTATGGCTTTAAAAAAAAACTTGAGATATATTGGTGGAATATTTCTCTCCCCGCCTTCATGCCATATCACTAAATACAGGAAATTTTGGAAAGTTTTATAACCCAATTAGCTTTTTTTTCTAATTGCCATGCTTTTGTGAATTTTTTAACCTCACAGTGAATGTTTCCCTCCTTCCCAAAAAGCACACATAGACAAACCTCTGTTTTCCAGTTTCAAACTTATCCATACTAAAACTATTTTAATATTATACAGTTACTTTTGCAGAAATCACTGTTAACAACCAGCACTGTGTATCAAATCAGATTGGATTTTTTCCCCTTCAAACACAGCATAATAGATAAAAATATGTCATCCAAGAAATATATATATTACTGACCTATCACCATAGGAAAA